CTGCAGTCCTTGACCTTCTGTAGCAAGTGCTTCAGGTCCTCCTCAGTTTCAGCAGGCAGGGTTGTGTCATCTGCATAACACAAATTGTTGATGAATTTTCCTCCCGTCCTGATGTCACATTTCTCCTCATATAGCCCAGCCTCCTGGATAATCTGTTCTGCATATAGGTTAAAAAGGTATGGAGATAGGACACATCCCTGGCGTACCCCCTTACCAATTTTGAACCGTGCGGTGTTTCCTTGTTCTGTGCGGACAACTGCCTTCTGGTCCAAGTATAGGTTCCACATTAGCACAGTCAAGTGTTCTGGGGATTCCCATTAATAGTAATTACAGTAACTGTCTGTGCAAGCTTATTATTAATTAACATGATTTTTAAATCACTATTAACCTTTGTGTCTCCCATTCCTCCAGCCTCTGGTAACCAATACAAACCTTAGTCTTTATACATTTGTCTTTTCTTGTGCTTTTATTTAAGTGAGTTCATATTGTGTGTTTTTGGAATTTACTTATTTCATTGAGTATAATCTCTTCAAGCTCTGTTCATATTGTATCAAGTATCCATTTTTCATTTTTCCTAATGATTATTAATCCATTGTATCACATTTTGATTAGCCATTCATCTATTGAAAGACATTCTGGCTGTGTCTACTCTTTGGCTCTTGTGAATAGTACTGTAATAAACATTGGTGTGCAAGTCTCTTTGAGTGTCTCTTTTTAAGTCTGCTTAATAAAAATCTAGGGCAATTGTTACACTGCTTTCAAATGACTGTATTATTTTGTATTCTTGTCAACAATGGATAAGGGTTCAAATTTCCCTACATTCCACATTTTCTATTTATTTATCTCAGCCTTCCTAGTGGGAGTCATGGGAAGTGCTCCGGTAACCTATTGGTAAGAAGTTGTGCTGCACTCCCAAAGACAGGCAGTTCGAATACACAATTTGCTCCAGGAGAAAGATGGACATTCTCCTCCCATATGGTTTACTGCCATATGATTAACATTTATTCAAATGGTAAACATTTGAATAAAAATATACAACACATAACAAAGCTGCATAGATAACAGACAGACAGATACATATGTCAAAAAGGCAAGTATAGAAATCGTGTAGTCAAAAACTCAGAGTCATTGCTGTCAAGTCAGAACAGACTCACAGCTGACTCTCCAGCGGGTTTCAGGGGGCTGCTAACGGCACAGGAGGAGACTGTGCACCTCTCTCCCCGGGAGCCACTAGTGGATTTGAACCACCAGAGAGGCACCACCACTGACTGAGCAGCACAGTTCCTGAGGCATTACACCACCAAAGTAAAATTTGGTACTTTTGATTCTGCTGGATAGAGGGAGGTCAGAGGGAAAAAAAGAGAGTATTGTAGTTCTAGTTGATGTCATTGAAATATAATGGAAAATAAAAAAGCATGTACTTTTTATAAATCTGAATTCTAAAATATAGTTACTGTACTCTTATATATTTATGCATTTATGTGACATCAGGGTTGGAGGAAGATTCATAAAGAACCTGGATTATGCAGATAACACAACCTTTTTTGAAGAAACTGAGGAGGGTCTGAATAATTTACTGCCAAGGGTCAAGGACTATAGTTTGCTAATGGACTGAGGTTGGATTAAAGTCCAACATCAATGGAGAAGAGTTTGAGATTGTTAACAATTACAGCTTTCTCGGGTCCACAATGAACATTCTTGGCACCAACAGTCAGGAAATCAAACCACTAATTGCATTAGGGAAATCTTTGTCAGGGATATCTTAGAGACTAAGGTGCACCTGATCCAGGCCATGGTCTTTGCAATTACTTACTATGCATCAGAGAGCTAGACAAGGAAGAGAGAAGAACTGATGCCTTTGAGTTGTGGTGCTGGAGGAGACTCTTGAACATATATGGACTGCCAAGAAAACAAATAGCTATGTCCTTGAGAGGGTAAAGCCAAGTTGCTCCTTCGCGGTAAGGATTTTGAGACTCTGTTTCACATACTTTGGGCATGTAGTCAGGAGGGATCAGTCTTTGGAGAAGGATATCATGCTTCAGAAGGGGTCTAGGTACAGCGCAGGAGAAGAAGACCCTGGATCAGACGGATTAACACAATAACTAGGATAATGAAGGTAAATGTGTCAGAGACTGTGAGATTGGCTCAGGATAGGGCAGGGTTCAGAATTCTTGTGCAAGGGTCCCTATGAGTCATAGTCTACTTGACGGCATATACCATCAACAACACGTATATATGCGTACAGACATGTATGTTGTTGTTGTTGTTGTTAGGTGTTATCGAGTGGAGTATAACTCATATAAACAAAAGATCGGAAACCAGTCCTGTCCTGCACCATCTTCACACTTCCTGACAGAAAAGAGCCCACTGCGGCCATCACATCCATGTACATTTTTATTTAATTATATGACAAACTTATAAAAGACCATAGAGAGAGCATATTCTTAAGCTAAATTATAGTTTACTTGTGATTTTCTTTCTCTTTTTGAAGGCAAAGTAGGACTTTTCCAACTTTTATAGCCCCCTTGTGTTCTAAGTAGAAGACAAGTGTCGGTTACCAATAAGTTTAACAGTAACTATAAATGTTGTTGTTTAATGCCATCGAGTCGTAGACGACTCATAGCGACCCTATGAACGAACAGCCTGAGTACTGTTCGTACATAGAGTTTCCAGAGGCAAGCCATTTTGGAAGTGGATGCCGCTCCTGCTTCTGTGAAAAACTGAAAGTCAAAATCAGACTGTTTTCTAAAGAATAAAATCAGTGTATATGAACTTTATAACTAAACCAGTGTAAAATAAAAATGTGCAAAATAAAATAAAGACCATAAAATAAATGTAAAGAGGCAGTAGTCATGTGTTAGGAATATAAACATAGCACCAGCTGCTTGATGTACCAAAGAAGTGGAGAGCAAGGAACAATAGGTTTAAAAATGCGGGGTGAGGGAGGGGATTGTGTACAAATGAAGGAGTTTGTCTTTTGCTTTTCTGGGGGTGCAGGTGAAGGTGGGCTGAGTGGGGAGAAAAG